GAGTAAATCCTGATGCCCTCAAAATAAATCAAATTCTTCTTTAAAACTTTCCCAATTTTCTGCAGCATTTCTTGGCATTTTTAGAAGTGCAGGAAATCTTAATTGATCCATCTTATTCCATTCAAACTTGTTTTTCACTTCTGAGTAACTTTCACCTCAGGGTTTTTTGTTTTTAATTTCTTCTGGTTCTTTTTATCCCTTACCCTACTTCTGGATCCATTTGTTGTTTTAATATTCAAGTAATTCATTGCTAGTAACTTAAGAGTCTTTATTAACACATATACAGAGCATCTTAACTCAATCAGTTCAACCTAAAACCAACTGCCTTCTCCCACTGTCAGCTCCCACACTCTGGAGATTCTATTCATTCTCTTTAGAGCCACAGTTGCACCATACAAAAGTACTACACTTGGGAAGGAAAAATCAAATGCACAAGTACAAAATGGGGAATAACTGGGTTGGTGGTAATACTGCTCCAAAGGATTGTGGGGTTATAGTGGATCAAAAATTGAATATTAGTCAACAATGTGATGCAGTTGCTAAAAAGCCTAATACTATTCTGGGCTGTATTAACAAGCCTGTTGTATGTTACCTCCACTGTATAATTGTCCCCCTGCTCACGACTTGTGAGGCCTCAGCTGTGTTCAATTCTGAGCACCACACTTCAGGAAAAATGTGAACAACGTGGTGAGAGTCCAAGGGAGAACAACAAAAATAATAGGTTTAGAACAGTGGTTCTCAGCCAAGGGTACACGTACCATGGGGGTACGCAGAGGTCTTCCAGGGGTACCTCAACTCATGTAGATATTTGTCTAGTTTTACAACAGGCTACATAAAAAGCACTAGCAAAGCCAGTACAAACTAACATTTCATACAGACAATGACTTGCTTATACTGCTCTATGCACTATACACTGAAATGTAAGTACAATATTTATATGCCAGTTGATTTATTTTATAATTACATGGTAAAAATGAGAAAGTATACAATTTTTCAGTGCTAGTGCTTTTTATGTATCCTGTTGTAAAATTATGGAAATATCTAGATCAGTTGATGTAGCCCTTGGAAGAATTCTTAGTACCTCCAAGGGTACACATACCCCCGGTTGAGAACAACTGACCTACAGGCTTACTCAAAAGGTATTGTCTTCTGTCTGTTTTATGCTTTCTTCAGATTAGTTATAGGGAAACAAAGAATCATAGTTTCAAAAATAGCCTCTAAATTTTCACACTTTATCACTGACGTGCACATACATGCACATCAGAATTCTATTATTTAAGCATAGAAAACTACCAGAAAAAATCTAGTTGGGGCTTTTTGTGTTAACAGGCCAACAGTGAGGGATACTACTTAAAATATTGGACTAGCATTTGCATTTCATTGAGGAAAATTCGGTCATGGAATTTTTCTCTCTGGCCTGCCACAAGCATTCATGTTCATGCTGATCTTAGTTGTGTCAAGAGCTGGTGCAGCTGAGCATTGTGGGAAGGAGATTGTTGGCATGCCTAAAGGCTGAAAAATGGAAAAGGATCAAGGACAATTCTTGGTAATTGGCTCCCCAGGTGAACTGTTTTTTCCTAAGGTGATATGCAAGCTTCTTTCTGGTAAATTTTGGCAGGGAAGAGAGCTGGCCTACTTGTTATCTTTAGTACTGGTTGAAAAACTGGGGAACCTTATTTAGCAATCTGAAGATATGTTATTTACAGCGGTTTGGAAGATAAATGATTTTTTTGTACACTTGTAATTTTTCATGATCATTACAAAGTTTTTCTTTGCACTGTTGCTATTTCTCCATTTCCCCCGTTTGGCCTCCATTTTTTCCTTTTTATTTTGCCACAGAAAAGTGTGTGTGTTGGGGGTGGGGGGAGATAAGGGGGAAAACAATGAAAAATGGGAAATTCCGAAGAAACTTTGAGTAGATCTAGTTGTTTTCCGTTTTATCCTCAATCTTGGTGAGGATTTTGTTCCCTTGGTGCCACCCAGGCACCACCAGTGTTTCAGAGACTTATTCTGGCTTGGTGAATTTTACCTTCTGCGCCACTGTGCACACAGGGGGAAGCGCAAGAAGAGTTTTAAATATTTACTCACTGAACTACCCCCCCCACACACTAATGATTAAATGTCTGTAAAAATTAACCACTTAACTAATAGCTTACAGCTGAAAGGGTTCTCAGCCGCTTGTTAAAGAAACGGGGTGGGGGGCGGCTAGATTCTCCTTTTCACTTTGGGAAGCAAAGCAGAACTGAACCAAATAGAATGTGATTGGCATGAGGTAGGTTAAAGATCAGCTGGCTCTGATGCATGCTCCCATGCACTTTGGGATGCTGTTGAAGCCCCTATGCCAGGGCTCCATAGGAGCCAGCCACCTAGCCAAGGATGCCCATTCAGGGGCCTGCAGGCCCATGACAGAACCATAATCAAAAAGCTTTGCAACATGCAATAGTGTCAAATCCCAGCTGCATCCAACATTGTGTCATGGCACAAAAGGGCAGGAGTGAACAGTACAAACAAGTACATAGCGCACAGCAGCAGCCTCCAGCATCTGACAACCCTTTGGTGCCTCTGAAAATTGAATATAGCAGAACAAGCTTTTCTTTTGCATGCTGAATTAGTTATAGCAATGTAACTGAAAGTGCAGCCACATCGGACTTGATCTTGATAATGCTAAACTGTCTTCTCTCGGTGTTTAGCCCAACTAAATAATTGTAGTAGTTGTACTAAATTTAAGGCATTGCATAGAGGGGTCTTGTGTTCCCAACACAGCTTTGGTTTTTTGGGGTGTGAACACTAAAACACCAGCATTATTTTAGAGTTAAAACACAAGCAGTTCAAACGAATACTCCTGATAACCAAATATAAGAAGTTCATAGGGGGGCGTGCTGGGGGGAAGAAGTGACCTTATTGGCATTTTCTCATCCAATTGCTGTCAGGATTCCTTCAGGAGAGGGAGAGAAAGTTCCTCCGGGAGAACATGGAAATATCACTGTGTTAATTAGCTATCCTTAAACTAGAACTGCTTTCCTTGCTCATGCCTAGCTCTGGGCCAATGCTACTACCTGCCCGAAATGTGGTGTTTGTCATGTGATGTTTAATTTAAAGACACTAGCCCACAAAATACCATAAATGAGATTTAGACTTGGTCAAAAATTTTCGAAAGAAACATGTGTTTGGAAGTTGCCTCCACCCTCTCAAATAAGTTCCATGTTCTGATAAAATTGTAAAATAAAGTCATTTTCCTCCCAGTGGTTTTTTTTAAAAAAAGGTGAGGGGAAGACCACCAATGGGGGAACAAATTAATTAAAAAACAAACAAACTAGGAGCACATTAAGACTCCAAAGCAGGGTTATGGTACACTCATCATGAAGCCAGCAGCAGCCTCGCTGTTGAGTGTAGGCGTTGCTGGACTAGGACTAATTGGGGAAGTGCACCTTTGTCAGGTAAGGGAGTATATGCACCAGCTTTGAAGTAACTGTTTTTCAGAGACCCAGGCAATGGAGAAAAGCCAGGCCGGGGGTTAATGTTCTCCTGCTTCCAGTTTGGGGAGAGAGGTAGCTGCCATGCCTCTGTGTATCCCAGGCAGCATTTTAACATAAAGCTCATGTTAGAATGCTTCATTCCATTACAAATGGCATTCCCTTTGAAAATACACACAACGAGGATTGCCTAGTAATTACAAGGGTTTAGCTTTTCAAAGCTACCTAATTTTAATGGAACTTGCTTGGCTAAAGCAGCTTTGAAAATTTCAGCCAATAAGTAGATATTTTAGGCTTTTCCACAGTTTTTACTTCTGTGGCTTTTTTTAAACGCCTAAACAACACTGATGCGCTCAAACTGTTTCTTTCACTGCCAATTTTTTCATTTTGATTTTTTTTTCTCTCCTGTGTTTCAACTTCCTAATGGATCAGCACCCACCATGAGTACTTTGTTGTTGGTTCATTGTCATCTCTGATATGGTAAACTCCTGAAATGTTGTTGAAATTCACTGCTGCATCACAGCTGGGAGCAATACATTGCTTTCTGTCAGCACCATAAACCATGTTGTTTTTTTTATTGCTTGGCAATGGAATAGTGTTTTATTTACAAAGAAGTATCAGGCTTGCATTACCCGATCCGACTTTGGTGAATAACTCTTAGACAGGTATATACCTTGGGCCAGATTCTCCATTGCCTTATATTTTCTGTAGTTGTTTAGGCCTTAATACAGCTAAGCAGGTGCTAAAGTCCCTCCCTATTCAGCAAAGCACTTCAGCAGGGGCTAAATCCCATTGCCTTCAGGGCTTTGCTGAATCAATGTCTTATGCCTGTCCAATGTGGATACAAATTGCTTCCTATACAACTTGCAAGTAGGGTGACCAGACAGCAAGTGTGAAAAATCAGGACAGGGGGTGGGGGGTAATAGGAGCCTATATAAGAAAAAGACCCAAAAATCGGGACTGTCCCTATAAAATCAGGACATCTGGTCACCCTACTTGCAAGGCAGTGGGGATCAGGCCAACTACATTCCCTGAGAACATTTGGGGAAGGGTTATTTACCGTAGTGAGGATTCCACAATTGGACCCTTTATTCTCTGGTTTTTACATAACTACCAGTAAGGCTGGTTCTGATGATATACTTGAATGTCAATTTGTCAATTGTATTGTGTGGTTAGCTGTTGAGTATTAATTTAAACTATTTATTCCAAATGAAAACCAATAATGGTGACAGTTGTGTGCCACTGCTGCTGCAAGAGACCTGAAATAAAGAAACTATTGGTTTGGGAGGGGTTATACAACACCTTTCCTGCGATCCTTGGTTATTGTGTAATTACGGGCAAATTATTGACTAATTTATAATTGCACCATACTGATGGATAAATACACATATACAGAGTGTGATAACACTAATTTCTTAAAAGTTTAGAATTTGCTTCATGGGATAGGAAAATAAAGCTATCTGAACAAACCTTGTTTTCATCTAGTGCAGGATATAAAAACATCACATCATTTAATGTATAATATAACCTTTATTTTTTTTCTAAACTCTTGGAAAGTTACATAACAACCGTGCTTTAATTATGACACCATGTATAGACATTTAAAATGCATCTTAATTTATAAATATTTTACATTTGGTCCATAGAACAGGTTGCAATTTACTAAATAATACTGTACTCTTTTAAACAGGCTCTGTATATATTTTAGAATATGCATATATTACATATATATTTTTATATAGAGATAGATTTGCTTGGTGTTCAGAGAATAATTCCTTATTGCAAAAAACATATATGATCATACAATAATTTTTCTTCTTTAGGGCAAATACTACAAAAAGATACAGCTATTCACAGTTTACACACAGTAGTTCTACAACACTATTTTTTGTGCTATATATGATAATAGTTTGTACAGAACTCTGCTAAAGAGCAGGTCTGCCAAACATCTGTCATAATTGTTTACAATCAAACATTAAATACTGCATTTTTCTTAGAACAACATGGGACTTGATTACATTAAACAATAAAGCAAAAGTTGGAATTTTTCTTCTTAGTCTAATGAGAATCACAATTATCATGTGTATGTATGATTTTTTTTTCTAAACCCTGAAAACTTACAAGACTTTTGCATTTAGGTATGAATTCAGCTATAGACATTTAGAATGTATCTTAGATTTCAGAATATTTTTACAGTTGACCTACTGTATGAAACAGTTTAGAAGCTACTAAACAATACTTTGTGATTTTATGACATAGGTTGAAATATATGTATATATATATTTTCTACAATAATGTGCTTGACATTCTGAGAATAATACGTTATTGCAGGAACATATGTTTGTCACCTTCAGACAAAAACAACAAAAAACCCGACGTTCACAGTTAGTTAATATGTTTTTCACATAGTAGTTCTACATAAAATGTGTGCTATCTAACATCGTACGTTGCACAAAAGTTTGCTGAAAAAGCATGTTTCATTGCACAGTTCTGTCACAGTCATTTACAATCAAACATCAAATACTGCATTTCCCATAACTCTTGCCATCCTACTTATAGCTGCCAAATAAGAAACGCTGAATAGGGCCTGATCTTGCATTCTCTACACAGGAAGAACTTTCATTAGCTTCAGTGGGAGTTTTAGCTGTGTGGGAAATTCAGAGTAGAACCCATAATGGAGCTTTTGTATTATAGCAATAACCTTGTGCCTTCATCATCACCACGAACAATATGTACATCAATGAAAAAAATCAAAAGAATAAAAAATGTGTCTTCAAAGTGCTAGAGTGGTCCACAACTTATCATTTACTTGTTAGTTACAAACTGTGTTGAAAGACCTTTAAACAGACTGAATACCACAGTCTATGATCTAAAGCTCTAAATTAGAATTATAGGGAGATGGTTCAATATTTAAACTATTGTTTTGGTTTCTATTTTGGTGGCAATACAATATTCTTGTTAATGGTGTAATATAAACAGAAACACTACCTGGCTTCAACTACAAATAGTTTTGTACTGCTTTAACCTGGGAAGAGCTCATAATAGTTTCATATTATTATGCATTTTGCTAAAACATTAGAATGAAACATTTTGCTTCTACAATGTGTATCTGAAATTTATAAATATAAAAATAGAAATAAAATGTTTTTAAAAGATACAGTATATTTCACTATAAGACTATATTATGAGTTTGTGGAAGTAAATGCAGAAAGCCTAAGCGTAGATAATGTATTTAGCTAGTATGTAAGAAATTGTTTATACTGTATTTATATAAATATCAATCGAATTGAACATGTATCGGAATGGTTTATAACATAGCTAAACTTAAGTTGCCTGAAAAATAATTAAAGAGAACCAAAAAAAGAATAGTGTTTGTTAATACGAATTTCAAGAGCGAAATTTTCATTGGAAATCATCTGTGTACAAAATTCTTGGTCTGTAAAAAACAGCTTTCAAATTTAATTGTACTTCCTGCAAAGTCAGAAATAACAGTCTTGGGATTCTGCTGTAAGAAATATTATCATTAAACTACTAAAAATCATCAGCACAAAACATCAAATTGTTATGCTAAAAGATAGATTAAAAATGTCCTGCACCTTAGTTTACAAATTCCAAGATAGTTAACTCTTATTGTGAAAGGATAAAAACATTAACAGTCTGTGGATTGCCAGAAAACATAACACTTCCAACATTTGGGCCCCCAAATGGTTTGATTGTACCCCCATCAATTCCCTTATAGTGGTGATGGTCTTTTTTTTTCTTTTTTCTTTTTGCCACTAGAGGTAGGTAATTATATTCTCAGACATAAATTTGTGGCCATATTCAACCATATTTTTTTTTCCAGAGTAGCATTTGTACCTCTCCAACACAGAAATTTAGATATATGCCTCTTTGTTTGCAGAGTTGCTCTGCTGGGCCTGGTCCGGACCATTTTCAGGATGAGTAATGTCTTCACTTGGCTGAATCATTATTTGGATGCGCTATTTAAAAAAAAAAAGAGTGAGAAGAAGTCACTGAATATTTCTAAACTTCACGTCCAATCTAAACATCTTTCTCTGGCCATTGCTGTTGAGAGAGACAATCCTGTCCAGTCCACCTGCTGATGCAAAGGTTTAAAAATCTATGCAGTCACATTTGCTAAACATCTTAGTAACGAACACCATTAAAAGTGAGTATTTGGTCTTCTTAATCAGGACAGGAATGGGAATTATTTGTAAATGGAATTTGGCTTAATCAAGACAAAGGGGTTTCTGCTAGGCAAATCATACTTTTTTGGCAACAAATCTTGTTCCAATTATTGCATAAGATGCACCCAGACATCAACGTACTTTGATGGTTTTGGTTAGCTTTTGACATTGTGTTAAAGAAAACAATGTTTAATGTAGGTACATGACAATGAAGAGCTTATTCCCCCTGTCACAATGCATGGCTTTAGACCTAACAGTGCTGCTAACTGTCTAACTTTAAACAGTTTGGCTTACATTGTACGATTGCTAAACTTTTTTCCTCTCTTGATGTTTTTATTACTCAGGACATATTAAAAAAATAACGTGTCTGATCCTCAGTCACTTTCTGTAGCTCACTTGAAATCATAATCCTGCATTGGTAATGTCAAAGGTCCTGAGTGAGAGTTCTTTAGCAAAAGACTTGCAGGACTGAATCTGTGATCAGCAAGTAAGTTTTAGAGCTGGTCAGAAAATGGAATTTCCATTCTGTGGGAAATTCCAACATTTAGACATTTGTTTTCATTCTGCAAAAAAGTGAAAAATAATCTTAACTAGAAAATTTCGACCCTCTACAGAAGATCACTTTGAATTTTGGATAAAGGTTAACATTGTTATAACTTTATCTGCATGGTTTGCCTATCTATAGTTAGCAGTCAAACTCTATATTCAGTTACTACTTATAGTTTATAAAGGGTTGATAAATGATGTTTTAAAAATAGCTAATCAAATGTTATTGTTTGAGTCCAATTTATAACTACACACCGTCTACTGCTATTCTTTTAAACGTCTATAATGTTATTCATGTCTGTAATCATTTATCAATCCTTTCTAAATAGAATCTTAAGATAAAGGATAACCAAGTTGGTGAACTTCTGTCATGGTATCATATAGCACCTCCGAAAAGCAGATCTGCTCCTAAGGTTCTATTTCCATATACATATCCCAGTACTAATAATAATTAGGGAAAAGAGATTCCAAAAATATGACACCCACCATCAGTGTCCCAAAAAATAGAAAGTTTTTCATAGTCTTCCATGAAACATCAGTGAGGCTTTAAGGCTGAGTAAAGACAAGTGTTTGGGCAGCAGATCTGAGCAATTCATGAGACATCACTAGTCAGCTGTGCTTAGGGTCATCTGTCTTCTTGCAAGGATTGCTGTTTATAAACTGACTTAAGGAATATTCTAGAAAATCTGACATGAATCTGACAAGCTTTGGCTCCTACAGTCATGAAGGGAGGAAATATATATTCCTGCAATTTTGCTGAAGAAATCTTTCTCTAAAACAAAAATCACAATGTGTAAAGTATGTGCTCAGATAAAATCTATTTGGTGATGATGTTAGATAGTTATGTAATGAAATATGTAACATTTTGCTGCTCTATAGGCATCTGCCTGATGGTCTCAAACAGCATTAGAAATATTAATGGTATAAGCCTCTAAACATCCCTGTTAAATTGGAAGTGCTGATATCCCCATTTTATAGATGGGAAAACGGGGCAGAGAGAGATTAAGAATACACTTGCAGAATAAAAAAAAAGGCCTTTATTCAAGTTGTTTAGTTGAAAGATTAAACAATGGTAAAGCATAATTATATTCAATGGACTTGATTTGGGGGGCAATTTCCCTGCCAGAATAGCACTTTGGGGCACTGGGCAGACAGACATAAATTAAAGCAGCCTCCAGGCTGCTCAACTATGTCAGGGGCCAGAACAGCTCCAAGATTGGGAGAACACAAAAGTGGCTAAGGCTTCCTTTGCTGCTACCCTTTCCCCGTCAACCCCTTTCTACACCACAGCTTAACCACACCACTGGATCTAGGACAATATGTATAGGGATACTTTTGGGTGGTCTCAAGACAGATTACTCTCTCTCAGGTTCAGAGATTCAGGCCAAAAGGGACCATTATGATCACCTAGTCTGATTTCCTTCATGGCATAAACGATGAAACCTAACCCAGTGATTTTTGCATAAAGCCCATAACTTTGGATTGAGCTATAGCATATAATTTGGAAAGGTCTCCTCTCAAGTTACAAATCTTCAAGTGACAGAATCCACCACATCCCTGGGTCTTCACTTCCCTCATTTCTGGAGGACTTTGGCAAAATCTTTTAGAGTACAAATAATGATATTGCACAAAGCTTCTCTCCCTCCCCTAGGGAGGGATCCACTTCAAAAGGCAGAACTGTCACTCATGTCATGGCCTCGTGTGACATCACTATCCCAGGGAAGTTAGGAGCCTATGTAAGTTTGAAGATCTAGGCCTTTCTAAATACACATTTATGATGTCACCTTCATACATGCTAAAGGAGCCAGGAAGGGTAAAAACCAAACACTTTGCGTTGGCTTATATGTTGCCTTTCAGTGACTTGCTCCAAGACAGCAGGAAGTTTGTGGCAAGCCAGGAACAGATCCCAGACCTCCCGGTGAGGGGTCCTGTGCAGTGTGCACTGGCCTATCCTGCAGCCTTTGCTCATGAGAGTAGTCACACAAAAATATTAGGGCTACAGCATGTGGACTCCAGTTACACCATGCGGGATGTCCAGTCTCATCAAGAGCAGGGATATAGGCAGGAGTGACCAATTTTTATTTCCTTGTGGGAATCATTATCTGTATGGACTTCTGGGGGGTTTTATGTTCTTCAACAGCAGCCAAATCCTTCACTCATTACACAGGGAGATTTTTATTCAACCTCACTGGGAATTTTGCCTGAGGAAGAACTGCAAGATAAGGCAGCAGAGCCCATATTTTCCAGTCTGCTAAGGCCACTTGGTGCTGTTACGTCAACGGGGCAGGACGGATGGAGGTGGTGGGTTGGGGCGGGCTGGGGGCTTGGTGAAGCTGAGCTCCACTGCTGTAAGTGCCCTTATGCCAGCACCACAAGTTAGAGCAGGATTCTGCTCTACATTGTGCTGAGGGCAGGCAGCCACAATCAACTCTCTGTAGCCCAGAGCAGGTTGGACACAGTGGAGAATTTGGGCCCAGATCTTCAGTAACAGGGAGGGATAGCTCAGTGGTTTGAGCATTGGCCTGCTAAACCCAGGGTTGTGAGTTCAATCCTTGAGGGGGCCATTTAGGGATCTGGGGCAAAAATCAGTCTGGGGATTGGTCCTGCTTTGAGCAGGGGATTGGGACTAGATGACCTCCTGAGGTCCCTTCCAACCCTCATATTCTATAATCACAGCCACAGCCTCAGATGGTATCAATTTGTTTAAAGCCACTAGAGTCAAGGGAGCTATACTGACTTGCTGCTGTGGATCTGGCCCCCAGATCCCTAGAACTACATCAGCCTTATCATTGATCTATTGTGCTACAGCTGCCTACTGTGTTAGGAGTAAATTGCACTTATTGGGCTAAAGATCGGCCATTTTGTTTGCCATCCTCGTACTTGTAGCTGGCAGGCTTCCAGAGCTGACATTGTTATGGTAGCAAGCTATGTTAAGATCTGATGTCTTCAGAAAGACTATATACTAAACTGAGGCCAGGAAGAGTAATCATGGCTTCCACATTCTTCCGTTCGCTGCAAAATGACTGAGCTAAGACAACTGATGCCAAGGCAACTAAGCTCACCAATCACATGTCCAGTATCACTGTACGTATAGCTTACAAAGTACAGTATAATCATGCTCACATAAATAAAAAAGCCTTACCTGTTTTAAGGAGCCTTTTAAGGTAAGAAACATGTATGCCATGTAGCCTGGAATCAGCACCATAGACGAGAGAGCCATGAACCAGCCAACCCCTTGGCCCCATTTTGGGAAAACATAACTGCCCATCTTGAGAGGAGTCATTTGCACAGCGCTGAAGATAAACACTCCCTGAAAAAAAATGGAAAAAAATAATGAGACTTCGCTGTGACCTATATTCATCTCTGTGTCTTTCAAACCACTCTGCTGGACTTACTGGGCTCAATCCTCAGCCTGCCTCTATCCCCATGGAGAGGTGAGGAAAGGAAGGTAGGCAAAAAGTGTCCCCTTACTTCCCTGAATGAGCTACCCACATCACCAGACCCTACTTGGGGATGGGGGATAGCCATCACTGCTGCAAGGTGGAAGAACCTTGGCTCGGCCCTCTCCACCCCACACTCTGTGCCAGCCAGCACAGCTCTGCCACTGCAGAAGGGGAACTGAACTGAGGCAGGGAAACAGCTGGCATGGGTCACTTCTCCCACAGAGCTAGGGGAAAGTAGGAACTGAATTCTGGCTGAGTTCCATTTTTGGCCCTGCCCTGCTCCAGTCCACTCCTGTGAGATGCCAAGAAGCATTAGTTTGAGGAATGGGAGGCATTTAACTGCTTTGGGCTTTTTACTGTAATACCCTGTAAAATGTTAAACAGCGTAACAGTTACTAAAAGAGATGTGAACTTGTGATGTACATAGTGGCTGCATTGGGCCAAAGTTTGACTTGTGATGACTACTAGCTCATGCCAGAAAACCAACAGCCCCCTGTAGCAGGCTGACTTATCGGTCATTGTTTAGTGTCCCTTGAAAAACCTCCCAGGGAGGCTCCAAAGATGCTCCATGACCAGAGACCATGTTCTGGCCTAGGAGTTCGTCTTTGGTCTGCATGTTTTTGTGCATAAACTCCTTGACCTTTTAGCATCCTCAATGCATATTCCCTAGGCAGGTTATCTCTACTCTTAGGAATAGATCCTGGAAGGTATGCATGTGTGGAACTTAGCCAGAAGACAGAACAATGCTTTTGCAGTATATATGATGACATAATTTAAGAGAAAGGTGTTCTTTCTTTCAAATTATATTAGGCCTTTTTCAAAGCACTTGCCAGAATTTGGCCTATAGGTTTTTAATTAAACACACTTGTTAAAAGGACAGAGCATCCTACAATTAAACAGCTTTGGCAGCTATTACAGCTGTTGGCCAGGTCAGCCATAATCATTCACTCAGGTCTAAAGCATGGCAGGTAGCATCTTAGCCCCAAAATGAAGGTATACTATATTGACAAAAACGAACTGAAAAAGAACCATAGCTTTGGGTCAGCTACTCGCTAGTATAAAATTTCATCGCTCCATTTAAGTTAATAGAGCTATACTGATTTATACCCTCTGAGGATCTGGCCACTTATTGAAGCTATAATTGCACATACAAAGAAAACAGGTTAGATTTTCACAAGTATGGCCAAATTTTGGTGTTTGTGCCTGCAGGGAACTGCTCATTCCCTCTTGAAACTGTGTCCCTAGTTCTTTCTTATTTCAGTTGCTGTCTATTCTATGCATTGGATTTAGGGGATAGATATATTGCATGTGATTCTTGTCAAGTTCTTACTCCTGTTCAATTACAAGAACAGAGAGAAGAGATCATGAGTGTGTGTGTCTCAGTTTGGGTGAATCTCCCAACTCAAAAATGTTTTGAAAGATGCCATTTCAACATTTTTACAATAGAAAGTTTGGGGTTTTTCGAGTAGCAATAACTTAGTCTAACTTTCTTTTAATCCTCTGTTTGTTTAAACAGATCAAAATCAAAGCAAAACATGTCAATTGACCTGAACTCAATGCTTTTTTGGTTTAGTGGTTCACAACAGTGAAATTTTGACTCTCCATCCTGATTTGGGATGAGAGAATTTTTGAAATCTCCACTTCTCACTGGACAGGGAAACAGTTTTCTGTCCAGTTCTAGTGGGAGCGCAATCTACTGAAGCTTGAGGCTAAAGTGGAGTTGTTGCAGATTTTTGTCTATATCACAGAGCAAAACATGGAATGGAAGGCCAGCACCTCCACTCACCAGGTACAATAGGACTGACTTTTGTTGGTAAGACAGAGAAAAGTTTTCAATATACTGCATGTGGAATACCATTTGCTTTGTACCACCCCGATGCCATCTTGTACTAATTGGACTTGCACTATCAAGTGATGTCCATCTAATCCCCCATTTATCATGTTGAAAAAATTACCTTTTGATATTTAATGCAGTCATTTTTCTATAAATTCACCAAAACAAAGTCCTTTCTTTCCTAGCCTGCTGCAAATGGCTAACGCAGCATACCTCGGGGGCAACCTTGTTAACTGAATCAAGAAAGAAAGCAAAGCTCACTTTGCTCACAAGTTCAATCTTTATTTGCAAAGGCCACACATAGAAAGTTTTGCCAAAGAGGGAAATGTAAGATGGCAGCTTTTAGATCACATTATCATCACCTGTGAACTCAATGTGAACAATGGATTCCCAGAAATAAAGATTTTTACAATGAAAAGCAATTATGCTCCCCTCACTCCTTCCATTGCAATTTATAGTTCCCCAAACAATGTTTCTTTAATAATTATTTTCAGAGAATTGAGAGGTGGGTCACTGCATTTGGGGAATGGGTGAGTGCAAAATACTGGGTCAGTTCTCTTTAGTATTGTTGATCTGTTTGGCTGTGGATTCAGCTATTACAAATGATTGCTCATTAATCCTTTAATGAGTAAGGCACAAACTTTAACTGTACACATGCTTTATATATGATTCCAGAATCTGAATGCATGCATCTGTATGTGCGCTGTGTCTTGCACACAACCAAGAGCCAGGTTCTGATTCCCTCACTCATGGTGAGTGGTATCTAAATAATCCTTCTGGTTTCAAATAGGACCACTGGTGAAGTAATGTGTTTTTATTTCAATGTAAGGATAGCATAATCTGTCTCTGAATATGAAATAAAGAACTTCTTTCTGAATAGGTGGCATCCCATAACCTCTAATTTATACAAGAAAACCAGATAGCAACATGTTTGTAAAATAGGCATGGACTCCAGTAGCAAACCGTTAGCCTCCCAATTTGTAGAGTTATTTCTCCATCTAGGCCTTTGATCCAGCTCCTATGCACATACAGCCATACACTTTATATTAAAGAATGACATTAACATGATGCTATGCTGAAGCTTACAATTCTCAGCAGTCAGGAAATCCCATTTATTTGAAAAGTAACTTTAACTTCACCTTTTGTATTTATGCATTATGCAGTTTTCATAACATTGAACATTACATAACATTGAACAATGTGAGCTAGAGGGCTTAAAAGTCCGAATTATATGTTTTTGTAATGAGTATAGTGACTTGTTATGAGCAAGCTAATGAAAAGTCCTTTTGTAACTTGTAAAACTTTCAGATTAATTGTAGTTTTTATAACATAATTGAAATTAAATGTAAATACATTTAAAATTAGTTTAGTGTTTCTCCCTACTAAATATAATATATGATGCAACACAATTAAATTTTTAGCTTTTATTAATAAAATATTAGAAAAAGAACAGGAGTACTTGTGGCACCTTAGAGACTAACAAATTTATTAGAGCATAGACTATATGCATCCGAAGAAGTGGGCTGTAGTCCACGAAAGCTTATGCTTATGCTTATCCTGTTCTTTTTGCGGATACAGACTAACACGGCTGCTACTCTGAAACCTAAAATATTAGATAATTTTGTTACCATATTGGCCATAACCATAAACAAAATTCATTAATTTGACCAGTAGAAAGGATTTCCTGAACCAGATGAGAAGGTTCCATCACGTCTGCTTTTATCACTGGCTTCAATAGAGTTACTGCAGATTCACATCAGTATAACATCTAGCAGAATTTGGACCATTAACTTCAAATGGGACTTCCTGCATGATTCATGTGAAAATGATGTGACATTTGATTAACTATTTTTGCATCTCTACATATTCAACTCAAATTTTTAAATGTTCAGTAAGATACTTAAGCATGTGTCTGATTTTAAGCAAGAGAGTAATTTCAGTAAAGTCACAAGCTTAACGTCAGATACATGCTTACATACTTTGCTGAAATGGGTCTATGCAGTTATTAGAGATGATCAGAAAATGTTTCCTTCCCTTACCTATGAGAAACATTGATAGAAACAAAATCATTTAATTCAAAACTTTCAGCAGAAATTTTAAACTTTTAATAAAAAAGGAAAACCCCTAACTCTGAAAGCTTCTGGTTTTTTAGCTTTTGGGGTTTCTAATAAAACGTTCTTAGGAAAGTGGACACTTTTTGTGGAAATTTTTATTTTCATCAAAACCCCAATTTTCCATTGACCAGCCCTACTGATTATGCCAGGAAAGATGAAATCATAACTCATATACACAAGTGGGCAATGTTTCAAGATTTTTCTGCCTTATTTTTGTGGGTTTAAATCTCAATTTTAATACTGCATCAACATTGTCTTTGTGTTGCGAGCCCACAGAGACAATTAGCTTGAAGATGGGAAGGTTGAGAGAGGAACAGAAAAATGGAGGGCTGAGACCCTTCTGATGTAAGGAGACACAGCAATGTTCATTAAATATTTTCTCCTCAATTTAGCCCTCTATTTCCTCCAATTCGGTTAACCGAAACTCTTTCTAGTTAAAGAAAAGCTGCAGTTCTGCTCTCTCTGCTTATTAATCCTGAGAGAAATAAATATGGTTCATGCAGTTAAAGATACAGCTATAGTTCATGTTGCACAGAAACCGTCTGGATTTGTCAGCAAAGCAGATACCAGCAGTTGATGACTCAATCTGGTGGCACAGTCAACAGTATTCCATGAAGGAAGTGACTCCAGCTTGCAGCACTTACATATTCTGTTGTCTCTATTTGTAACACCAGTGAATGAATATAGTTTACAGGAAGTGGGAACTTTTGGGGCATTCTAGACCTTGAAACAGGACAGCCTTATGTTTAACTGTACACAGGGCCGGCTCCAGACACCAATGCAGCAAGCAGGTGCTTGGGGCAGCCAACGGTAAGGGGTGGCACGTCCGGCTCTTCGGTGGCAATTCTGCAGCAAGTCCCTCAGTTCCTCTCGGAGGGAAGGACCTGCCGCTGAATTGCTGCCGAAGAATGAAATGCTGGAGCCGGCCCAGACTGTACAGGATATACCATACACAATTTGCCATCTCCACCATCAAGCTACTTACCACTTCTGAAAGTATAAACCCTAGAATTCTGCAAGTCATTCGTTTCTTAGACCAATTCCAAAAGATTGGCATTCCAGGGGCCTGATTCTCCTCTCTCTTATATTGGTCTTAACGGTCAGGATTTGTATTAATGTGCTAAGATAGCATTACTATAGTCTAGCACATATTGAAGTAATTTATATCCTTCATATCACAGTATAAATAATAATTTTGTTCCTTACTGCCACAATGATAGGAGTAAAGAAAGACCAGCAAAGTTTCCACCAGATGCAGGGTCTGTATCCCACCATCTCCTGGATGTTGTCATAAAATCTGTTAACACCTAGAACATAGAAATAAAAAGAAGAAATGCCAGATGATGAAAGCATAATGGGTCTGAGATAATAAAGACCCTTTTAATGCACATTCAGTAATGTGGTCAAGGAGCATTTCTCTCAAAGTCTATGAAAAACTTTGCAGTTAACTGAACAGGAGAAAAAAATGCATGCAAATGGCATGAAAAACAGGACTTTTATACATTGTTCTCATTGCATCGCACTGAGAAAGGAGGCTATGTGTCAAATCAGTGACGTTGTACCCATTGCTGCCAGCAGTCAATTTAGCTCCAGGAGTATGCTGAAAAGTTCCTTAACATCATTAGATTGCAATGACAACACTATCACCCAGGTTAGCAAAAACTCCTCAAGCTTTGTTAGAATATAAGAGACTTAGTCTGGGATTTTCTAAAGAAGCCTTCATAATCTCAGCCTTAACTAGTAGGAGAGGGAACGAGAGTGTTCTTTAATGCCTTATATGGATGCATTAGTTGCAAACAGCAGTTTTTGTTTACATGTATGATGTACCACTATTCTGTCATCCTCCAAAAAGTGCAAACCTGCAGATCTGTGTATTGTCCTCATCTGGGATACCTACTGTTACATTTCTTTTTTATTCATATGTTGGATTCATATGATGTATTGTTCCTTTCCATCCAAATATGGTTTATTCCTATTAAAGACCTCCAAAGCCCATTATATGCAATGGACTCCCACTGACTTCCGTGGGCTTTTGATCAAGCCCACAATGAAAATAGAAGTTGCTAAATTGTTCCTGTCTGACACAGAAATGATGATTGTTACCATTCTGTCTTGGACAAGCATAATGAGGCAAATGGTAGTCAGCAAAGCCCTTACGTAAAGATTCACATATGGACATGACCATTTTTGGCATAAGCATGGAACTGGGGCCCCAACTCAATATCAAACTTGCAAACACCCAGGGCAGAATATGGTATACCAAGGGTCGGCAACGTTCAGCACGCGGCTCACCAGAGTAAGCACCCTAGCAGGCTGGGCCAGTTTATTTACCTGCTGACGCGGCAGGTTCAGCCAATCGCGGCCCCCATTCACCGTGGTTCGCCGTCCCAGGCCAATGGGGGCGGTGGGAAGTGGTGTGGGCCGAGGGATATGCTGGCCGTGGCTTCCCGCTGCCCCCATTGGCCCGGGACGGCGAACCGCGTCAGCAGGTAAATAAACTGGCCCGGCCCACTAGGGTGCTTACCCTGGCAAACCGCGTGCCGAACGTTGCCGACCCCTGTGGTATACATTTTGTTGCCTTGCTTGTGCACAGGCAGCAACTTTTTTTCAGCAAGGCTTTTAATCTTCAAAAGAAAAAAAATTGGGCCAATCTGTTCTGCATTCCTGTGTATCACTCCAGCAGCGAAGACGCAACTAGAGCTGGATTGGAAGAAAACGTCCTCATTCTAACACAGGATTACAAATAAATATGAAGACACATATGTAGCACTTTCCTTCACACAACTGCTGATATTATTCTCTGGGGTGTTTTAGAGAGGCGTACACCATAGACCAAATTCTACACTAAGATGTGCATAGCCTTCCAGGCCCTTGGGAGGTTGTACTCACGTGAATGAAAGCAAAATCTGCCCCCAAATTTAGGTAAACAGAATACTGAACAAAATGGGTCTTAAGCGAAATCGGCTCATCTTTTTCACAAAACTTATAGTCTCCCTACCCCATGCAGCATAAAGAGACGAACACATCACATACCATAGCACCAGGATATAGAGATACACTCAAAGAATACAAGAAACAATAGGCTCATTCCACTTGCAGAGTAGTAGTCAAACAGCTTGAACACATATATTCCACCCTACGAGATACAAGAAACAAATGACTGAAGTTAGCACATTTCACCTGGTATTTGTTTTGAAGACAGGTTAACATTTCTCATTAATATTTTTGTAGTTATCTATTATTATTATTTTATAATTATTATTTAAAATTGTAGTTTATATAGTAATTTTCTGAAAAGCTATATAATGCTTAAGATTGTATTGATTTCCTTTTAAGAGATCAGTAGTTACCAAGAACTAGAATAATGTTAACTAATTAGCTTGCATATGTAAATTACAAACTCCTGATTGGCTCTGCACTCAGTAATTTTTCTGAACTAATTTGCAACCAGTCAGTCATAATAAAAATGTTAATAATAATACTTTTTTGTTTCATAGCGTTGCCATTTAAGGATTTCAAAGATCCTTAGGAACCTTGGAAGAGATTCCCAACTGCGGTAAATCAGCATAGCTCTATTTACTTCAATATGCTAATCTTTGCGTCTTTAGCAAATCTTTAGAGGGTAATGATAGTTTTTGTTGATCTCCACTTTCTGCCCTCTTTAGTAGATTTCCTTATACATATATTAACCTTATAGCCACAGTGGAGGGTTTTTTCCATTCTTCAGCTTCTTAGTGAACTTGATTGAAACTATAAACATTGTAGGTAAGCTTGCAAAATAAAAATTCCTTTATATAAAACTTACCTGAGTAATATTGGACAGTCCTATCAGATAGGAAATAACGCACACTACAGCAATGAAGATTTCTCTTCGATTGCGTAGTAACTTTGGAAATTCATCCACCAAAGCTGTTATGAATCCTTCCACAGTACAGAACTGCAAGTAGAGTTACAGGTTATACACAACACAATAAAACTGCAGTGTTAGATTTAGAGCAACATTTTCAAAAGCATTCAGCGCTGCCCTCCAGCTGCTCCCATTGAAGTCAATGGAAAATTCAGTAGGTGCAGTCGTAGGCCAATGCTGTACACTTCTGAAAATCCCTTTTACTGGTTATTAAAATCTATGCAAAAAATTATCCTTCTGGCACAACTCTTACAAATTAACATATGTTTCATACGTTCAAGTGTTGTTTCTTTTGTGATGGAAGAAGTGCATACAGCCTAAGCAAACAATTGTGCATGTGCTTGATTGGGATTTCTTACACGCAGAACATTAAATAATGCATAAAATCTTGCCAGACTGGGCACCTCAATTGGAAGGTGAAAAACTCAGGGTTGGATCCTCATTTGGTGTATATCACCATAGCTCCATTCAGTCAATGGAATAAGGCCAGTCTACACTAGCTGAGGATCTGAAATCCCATAGGGAAACTTAAGAAAAGTTACCAATAGAAAATTATTTCCGTGATGACAACTGAAATCATGCAAGCCTGCCGTATGTGAAGTTACAGTCGTTTTTAGAACTGAAATCATGACTTAGCCAATATTTGCAGTTCTTCTTATTAATGAAACATTTCATGCACTATAACTGATGGAGGAGTTAGACAGAAAAAAGAAGAAAGCCTGACAGCCTGTGGACATATCTTGTTTGTAATAATATTAGACTATCTTCCTCAGCTGTTACAGTAGCCTAGAGACAAGATCTCTCAAGAATATTTTTGACCCAATTAATTTCACAGTAGTTCCCCAGAGTGAATGTTGTGGTTTATTGTTTTTCAATTAACTCCAGGCTTGACGAAGGAAATAGCAAAAATAAGAATCTTTGGTTTCTTTTCATATCTCTTGGCAAAATGCCTTGCTTTTCTTTTTTGTTTTTTAAACACTTCTTGGCAATGGCTGCAATCAATCAGTTTGGCTATCAGAAAAACACAGAAGTTGGTTCTAATTAATTAAAGACTATCGCAGTACTAATCATATGTAAGCAGTCCTGCAGGTTCGCATATGTACTATCAATGCCATATGATTTAGTAATCAAATGGAGAATTGTTATTTGCTAAGGCCCCTTACACTGCAACTGTGTTTATGGATCCCTGCATCTATGATGAACTTCAGAACGGCTTTATACAGGGATTTCATGCTTGTGACCAGTGGCAGAATCATGGTCTACAAAGGTATTTTGTAAATTAATGGAATTTAGAGAAAATGAAAATACTATCACTCCTTTGGCAATTAAAATATAAGCCATCTAGTCTCTTTATGTGCTGGAAATATGTTCTTGTAGCTGTATGAAGTTTTCCATTTTTTTTAAGCACTCTAAGTCCCAAAAAGATTTTCTCCAAAGTGTGATTCTTTAGCATCTTGTTTTTCAATACGGCAAACTGGCAGAACAGCCGAGCTCTGTACTGACTATTCATTCCCAGGTGAAATTCAAGATTAAGGTTAACATGTATAAAGTCCTTCCTGGTTTAGGCCCCAGTATCTCAGAGACCTGCTTCCTTTCCACACAGTACAATGACAACTGTGCTAGGCTGTCTCTCTTCTGTTTGTCCCTCGGGTGCCAGAGACAAGGTTTTTCAGTAGTAGACATTTGCCTCTTGAATTTGCACCTATGGGTTATTCTTCTAATTCTGCAATTTACTACATTTAGAATGAGATGCAACATGGCCTCCTGGTCCACATCTTCTACTAGTTGCAAGTTCTTGAGTCTCCTTCCACTTGGTTTACTAGCTAGTCTTTTCCAGCTATCAGTTTAGCTGTTAAGTCAGGCGCTGCAGGGAGCCATAGCGTATATAATTCCTTTGTCAGGAAATATTTGTTGCATCTAAACCTTTAAACTATGTCCAAATATTGCCTCAGTGATGGACACCTCAGAAATGTTTATAATCAACAATATAAAATTGTTAATAATTAAGGAGGAGGCCCTTTTGTTTGGAGAGTACATATCCTGCATACTGTACCTACTTTTGTTGTAGCCGTTGACTCTGAGGTTTGGAACTAGCAGTTCCTGTGGAAAGGAAAGTGGCTCAGTACCAGTTGCTGGCCTTCAGAATATCCCAAACCCTTAGGGCCCCTCCCCCAGCTGTCTACCCCATTGCACTAGAAGTGGTCCTGTACTCAGTGATAGCTTACAGTGTGAAATGCCCAGAAAGAGATACTGTCTGTTATTAGAAAGACAAGGTGAATCACCAATAAAAGATATTTACCTCACTCACCTTGCCTCTCTAATATCCTGGCACCAACATGGCTACAACAACACTGCATACTGTTTGTCATGTCATACATATTACAGAAAATAAAGTATTTTTAAAAGAATCAACAGTAAGCAACATTACCTGGCTGTCAATTCCAAGCATAAGCAACATGGAGAAGAATAGAATTGCCCACAATGGAGAGACAGGTAACTGTGTCACGGCTTCTGGATAAGCTAAAAATGCCAGTCCAGGACCTGGTAACAGAAAGAAGAGATGGGTTATTAATTGTATATCTTTATTTTAGCTTTGATACAATGCAACAGGGTGGTGAAGGTATTTGCACTCTATGGTACTTCTGTTTTTGGTTTGTTTGCCAGTCTGAAGACTAATGAGGTGCAAGTTGGGGTGGGATAGCTATATCAGGGAAATAATAGAGAGAAAATAAACTCTGCTATAGAGAAAAAAGTAAGTGGTACCTCAGGTTCAAATGTTTTAAATTAGAAGTAGTTCAAAATGCTGCTCCTAAAAGGCTGCCTTCGTGAGTTTCGATACTGCAAATATGCTTGCCTCTCTGGGACAGAATTTGCATCATCTTCAGGCTCCTTGGTGAACTATCTCTGCCTTTAACCTACACTCAAACAGTTGGTGATAGCTGTAACTACAGCCAGAACAGTCCTTAGGAAATGTGGAGACAGTTCCCCCCTGATATATGCAGAATAGATAAAAGGAATATCTTCACTTTCCAGTATTTAGAATAGGACCATTTGCTATTTCATGGAATGATTTCTATTGCAATATACATTACTCTAACATAAGAAGTATCTTCTGACAGTGGTCAGGGCCAGATGCTTCAGAGTGAATGAACAGAACAGGGCAATTTTGAATGATCCATCCCGTCGTCCAGCACCAGCTTCTGGCAGTTGGAGGTTTAAGGACACCTGGAGCATGAAGTTGCATTCCTGGCCATCTGGATAATAGCCACTGATGGACCTATCCTCCATGAATTTATCTAATTATTGTTTGAACTCAGTTCACAACATCCCCTGGCAACGAGTTTCACAGGATGACTTCGCACTATGTGAAAAAGTACTTCCTTTTGTTAGTTTTAAACCTTCTGCCTATTAATTTCATCTGGTGATGACTAGTTCTTGTGTTATATGAAGGGGTAAGTAGCATTTCCCTATTCACTTTCTCCAAACTATTCATGATTTTATCAACCTCTACCATGTCCCCCCTTAAATGTCGCTTTTCTAAGATGAATGGTCGCAGTCTTTTTAAACTCTCTTCGTTTGGAAGGTGTTCCATGCCCCTTCTTATTTTCTTTGCCCTTCTCTGTATCTTTTCCAATTCGAATATATCTTTTTTGAGATAAGGCAACCAGAACTGCACACTGTATTCAAAGTGTGGGCATACCGTGGATTTATATAGTAGCATTATGATATTTTCTGTTTTATTATCTATTCCTTTCCTAATGGTTCCTAACATTCTGTTCGCTTTTTTGACTGCTGCTGCACATTGAGCAGATTTATTCAGGGAACTATCCACGATGACTCAAAGATCTCCTTCTTGAGTGGTAACAGCTAATTTAGATCCCACCATTTTGTATGTGTAGTTGTGATTATTGTTTCCAATGTGCATTACTTTGCACTTTTCAGCATTGAATTTCAGCTGCCATTTTGTTGCCCAGTCACCTAGTTTAGGAAGATCCTTCTGTAATATTTTGCTTTCAGCTTTGGACTTAACTATTTTGAGTCATTTTGTGTCAACCGCAAATTTTGCCACGTCACTGTTCACTCCTTTGTCCAGATCATTTATGAATACATAGAACAGCACTGGTCTCAGTATTCATGGTCTTTTTACTATGAAGCTCAAGGGGTGGAAGGTGAAGGGGAAAATGACTCTTATTAAAAAAGGAAAGAGTGTGTTTTTGTTGTCCTAGCACACTGGGAACTAGCTGTTGGTAGGCTGATGGAGAAACTCATAATAGTCTAAAGTAATCATAGAAATAAAATTGGAGTGCCTCTTCCTAAAGTGGATATCCTAGTTATTAACTGTAAATTTAATATAATCTTTATTCAGTTTTCACAGAAAATAAGTACATCTGTGATAACTGGCAGGGACATATTGTAGCTTTTGGAACAGCAAAGCAGCAAACAACATTAGATATCTGAATGTTATCATCTTCCAAGATGCTTACCTTCCAATATCCTCATTGCATATACTTTGATCTTTGCTGATCAGCATTATTAAATATGATTGGAATGCCTCCCACGTGGCAAAAATCCCAGAAAGAGAAATATGGCCTTGCTTTTGCTGTGTTCATATGCACCAATGAAACAGAGTAGAGGTTGTGATGGTAGTGTCTTTAAAACTCTCTTGCTTCATACTACTTTTTACAAAATGAAATTGGAGCATTTAGAGAAAATGGTGTCAGGAATAAATACATCAAGACTCAAAGACCAAATATTTCAGATTGCAGCTTGCAATCTCGTCAAAAAAGATGTCATGTATTATCAAGCCTACGTGTTTAAAAAGAATATTAGAGGTGGTCCCAACCCAATATAGCAGATCTGCATTGCTCCATAATTTTGGGTTGTGGATTCTGAACTAGGATCTGCATCCAAATTTAGGGGTTAGTTCCTATCTCTGGATCAGACCAAAAATCCCAGCTCCAAACACCCTTGAACTAATGTGCATATAATATACCATGTATGAAATCCACATGTGGACCATAGTTCCTGTCTAATAATAATGATGCCCTACACCTAACAAAAGGGAGCAAACGTTATTCACAGCTTAATCCAAATCACACTCTGATTATATATATAAAAAGCAGGATATGAACCACATTTTTTCCAGTGTTGCTTCATGAGCTGATAAGCAAAACAGAGTCTGCTTCCAAAATCAAATCCCAGCAGGAACATGGAACTGCCAAACCAGATCTGGCTATTGCACAGCATCTGTAGTGTAATTGTCAAATGAAATATACATAATATTCCAAAAGCCAGAGCCATAGCAAATGTCATAAGGTGCCTTTCCCAATTTATGTAGCCTATCTCCTGTTTGTGAAATCTAGGGAATGCCATCTGGCTGGTATTTTTCATTACTATTTGCATATTTTATTATACCAACATCGCTGAGAGAAGTAGCATTACAGCACTATACAGAGCAGAGAGTCATGTGCTCTCTGATTCTACAGAAAGGCTTTTTACAAGAGCAGCTGCTGATAATATTGATTAAAATCGAAGTCCAAAGACAGCCATATCATAGTTTCATGATACTGCATATTACTTTTTCAGAATCAAGGAAATGTGAAGCTCTGAATATGTGGAAGAAAAAAATATTGACAAATAAAATCCAAAACAAGTACCATGTATTAAGTCCTATATCAACATTAGAAGAGTTTGCTTCAAGATTAGAAACCAACACAACTCTCTGAACTAGTCCACTTCTGTCTTAACTCTCTCTCCACTGTCCAAACATCACTGGGTAAAGTAGTATTTTGGGGAAAAAAACCAAACATAATTATGACACAAAATAAACATTACTAGCCCATTCATGATCTCTTAGCACATTAACTGTGTTTTATTTAACATGGAGTGCTTTTTTGTAAACTGGGTCGAAAGTGGGTTTTTTAAAATTCAGGAAGGTCATTTAATAATTTCCCCATAACCGTATTGCTCTCATAACTATTCTGTAATTGTGGGTCATTCTGATATTTGTCTGGTATTTTAAAAATATAAGAACAAAACTGTAAAGAGAGAATGACCCACACTGAAAACATTCTCGCTGTTTCTGTTTCCTTTCTGCTCATCTCACATTGTAAGGAAGAGCCCAAGAGATCTTGCCAAGAATTGGAGGTGATGGTGATGCTGCTGCCCACCTTAGAACCTTTAGCATAGTATTAATAGGACTCACCTGAGATGTGGGAGACCAAGGTTCAGTTCCCTCTCCAGGCTTTAGAGTGATGCTCACTCTCTCTCTGGCCCAAGGAAAATTTAAGTATTTATCCACAGTGGAACAGCTTCAACAGGAGAGATTGAGGGAGCCCCCCTTAGCACAATGGGCAGAGCCCCTCTTAGCACCTGAGAAAAAGACCCCTGTTCAAATCCTCTCGCCTCCTCTGTTCTGTGGATTGCTCTGGGACTTAGACTTGAGACAGGCGACTGGATGCCTAGAGTGAGGCAGCAATGCAGTTGCCCAAAGGCAGGAGGAAAGTTTTACTTCAAACACATAGGTCCCAAGTGAGTTTAGGTACCAACAGTGTTCGGTGGCAGCCTAGCAGGACTTTTCCGGACCACAGTAGAACCTAAAATGGGGACTTAAGTGCCTAAGGACCTTTGTGGATCTGAGCCTCAGGTGCCTCAGAATGCATTTAGAAGCCTAACATTTGGCACCCAGGTTTGGAATTGTTGGCAACTGTTCACAGATGCCACTGGAAATCTTTATGCAGTCACATAGAAATCAAATGCACAACTCAAGAAGGTTATTTCTCACACCATTGACTTTCACAGCCATCAAATGGGAACTTTACATGTCCTTACAGGTTTCTGGCTAATTCCTCTGTGCCTATATTCTGCTTAAGACAGTTAACATTCTTGCGATTCAAGTTCTATTCATAAGAAGACCAGAAGGTATTTTATAATTGGGTTATTCATAATAACATGGTAAGACAAACTACTCTGCTGTTCCACAGCCAGTGACTTACAGTTATCAGCATGTTCCTCCATGAGGTTACAGTTGCTGTGTATCTGTATGGATATCTGGCATGGCAACTGACTCGTGGCAACCATCAGCTCTAGTAAGCTAAGCTTTTTCACTTGAGGTCAAGTCAGTGAATTTCAAGCAAAATACAGCAGATTCCTGCTAACCAGGAGACCCAGCTTATTGTCCTAATAAAACAATTGTCCTGATAAGGGGCCCAATCCTGCTCCCATTGCTAACAGAAGTTTTGCCATTGACTTGGAGAGGCACAGGGTCATGTCGCTAGAAAATAAGTCAGTAAGGAAAAAGTAATGTCCGTATTGGAAAGTCGGACAATGAAATAATGAATGAATGAGTAAAAATAGACAGAACAGATTGTCGCTGCATTTCATCTGTATTTATTCTACTTTGGGAACCATCACAGCAAAGGGCTGGTGCGCAGATTTTCACACCTGTTTAACACCCAGTTAAGCACCTGACTGGCTGAACGTGTCCCCATTTGTTAATATTGTCTCCTGTAAGTAGCAGTCCCTGTCATCCATTCTCCTTAGCACAAGCTGGATCCCTAGTAGGTGCCCTAAGAGCTGGGTTTGCTAATAAGTGACTCAGTTAGGCAGTCATCCCGTTCAGTGTTAACTGCTTTAGGGTCCTATACTCAGGGTCGGCTCCAGGCACCAGCGGAGGAAGCGGCACATGCTAAGGGGCGGCATTCCGTTCATTCTTGGGACAGCACAGTCCGCGCGGCTTTTTTTTTTTTTCCTTTGGCAGTTTGGGCTTTTTTTTTTTATTGGGGTGGGGAAAATGGTAGAGCTGGCATTGCCTATACTGGACTGCCTTGAGAGACTTGAAACAATTCATATTCATCTCTCTCTCTGTATGTGTATGTGTGTATAAGGTGCAACTGAGTTAACAAGGAGCTGAAGGGCCTAATAGGGGAAATATTAAATATGTTGATAATCAATCAGTAACAAATTAATCAAGAACCAATAATCAATAGCATTTTTAATTGCAATTACAAGTTCAATAAGTAACATTCCCTCAAGTTCAGATTTGTTCAACAACAACTGACTTGGGATAAGTCAGCTTTGATTGGATGTATTAATCAAACAGTTAGTAAGACAGCACATGCACAGAGAGGCATATAATTAACAAAAGCTGTGGAAGAACTTCCCTGTAGTTTCTCACAGCACGTGTCCAGTCTGCTGATGGTCTTTCTTCCTCATAATTTCTTGGGGGTAATTATGTCCTTGTTACCCTTCATTGTTTATTATTCTGGCCAGGGCTGTTCTGGCTGCGTAGGGCACCCAAAAATTTGGGGTACCCCTGGGTCTTAGTGTCCACCCTCACACTAGTTCCTATCTCTGTTCTGACCCTTCCTGCAGGCTCCCAACACAGCTGGCTGCTGCAGCTTGGTGAGTCTTCTTCCAGAGGGGATATAGTACTTAAAAGTGAAAAAGCCTGCCAGACCTATTAGCACAATATTGAAACTGTTAAAGGGCCATTCAAGTGGTAATGAAGCCATTTAACAGACATTTGCCAACGTCCAGGTATATACTGTCAGTTTCTGAATTTACTGACAAAAACTGTTGTGCATTACTGTAATATTTACTTTACTCAGAACATGTTAGTCTACAGGACCTTAGTTTAAAATTTGTTTTAAAAATATTTAATTAGTGTGTTACTGAAGATTATAAAATCACATATCTAAAAAATCCTTGGATAGATTTTTAGATGCACAATCTGAGTATTCATCTTTAGCCTTAAATGCTTGGATCTTCAGACATATAGTTTTTTAAATAAATCCTTCAAAAGACCACCCTGATCTAAAATACACATGTAAGCTTGGGCTGTCATCAGTCATAGGGGCACCAATATCACAAGTTTTCTGAGTGAACCTGGGATGATTCATGGTTTAGCTCCAAACCAGGTGGAAACATGGACATTTCAACTAACCTTCACTTTTATTTTTAGTTCATTGAAATCAAACTAAGCAAAAACTCAACAGGTGTTTCCAAAGTTCCCTGTTTCACTGCAACTTTCCACCTGTCTCAACACCTGCTAGTTAGTCCTTTCATATGCCCTTTACTGGATATTGTAATCCATTACAAATCTTGGAGTTACTATATTGTAAAAATACATTTCAAAATAGGTTAAGGGTTACTACACAATGAAATTCCATTCTTCATTAGACATCTTTATCTTAACTGCAAAGCAGCATGGGAGGCTTGTGCTCCAGCAAGCCCTAAAACCTTTCTTGGACTATCTTAAGTGTGAACAAATAATTAAATGGAATTATTGGATAAAATATATATTGCTGTAAACAGACTAATGGATACCACTGAATTGCTTAAAGAAATAGGTTGCCTACCTGATGCTGCAACATCTGCAAGAGACCTCTTTGTGACATTAGCCATGAATCCAACAATGGAGAAGATGACAAAGCCAGCAAACATACTTGTGCATGAATTTATGCAGCACACTATGATGGAATCCCTGAAACAAAGAAAAAGGTGCATTAGACTAATAAATAAAGCAATACTGATTACCTTCCAATACTTTCTATTATCCTCATTGAGAGGAAGGATGATGGTCTTATGGTTAAGGCACTTGACTGGGGACTCAGCACTTCTGGATTCAATTCTTTGACATACTTTCTCTGTGACCTTGGACAAGTCACATAATTTCTCTGGGCTTCAATTCACTATTAGTAAAATGGGGATACTACTACTTTGGTCTTTTCTATTTAGATTCTTTGATCTTAGGATCCAGAAATGTTTCTTGCTACATATTTGTACAGCCCCCAGCACAGTGCAGCCCTGATCAAAGTAGGGATGACTAAGTCCTACTATAATACATATAACAATACGTTTACCTGTAAACATTGTTGTGGAAAGGGTTGTAACTTCCAAGAGCAATCAGTGAACCAAGACCCAAACCATAAGAGAAAAAAATCTGCGTGGCAGCATCAAGCCAGACCTAATTGCAGAAAGCAAATTTTTTTTTACTATGCGTAGATGTACACTTTGATGGCTGCTTAGATACTTTGTTAATGGTGAGCAATTAGCATGGAACTTTGGTTTACAAGAATTAAATGTTTACCTCAGAATCAGAAAGCTTACTGAAGTTAGGAGTGATATAGAATAAAATGCCTTCCTTTGCCCCAGGCAGTGTCACTCCACGGAAGAACAGGATAACCAGCATGACGTATGGATAAGTAGCAGAGAAATATACCACCTAATAGAAAGAAACAAGGAATTGTAAGCATGGAGTTAGAATGGGCTCTTTACATTAACTTTCAATAGCTTTAGCTACTTGCTTCACAAGAATACAGTGATAGGAACCCAGATTTGTTTTTCAATCCGGAATGCTGGGCAAGGGTCAAATTTGGTGGGGAAGTGATGGTATACTGCTCTTTATTCCCACATACCAGGTCCAGAATCCTCTACTCACCAAATGTAAATAACACCCCCCTCCAACTGCTCTGCCACCTGCTCTTAGGGCCAGAGGCTGGGGAGAGGTCAGGGTTGCCCCTGAGGCACTGGTTCACACTGCTCTTGTCCTCATTACTGGCAGTGTGAGCACCAGTGTTGCCATGCAGAGCTCAGCCTGGAGGAGAGCACCATATGGCTCTGTTCTTCCCATCCCATGAGCTCTATCCCTGATAGCAGAGATCTGCTCCTACATCAGGGAGAGGGGAGAAGTGGAAGACATTTGTTGGTGACAGAATTGCCCTGCATTGGTTCTTGACATCATCTGACTTCCAAAAGCCCTGGGATAGGTTGTTGTGAAGTCAGGCCACAAAAATGGATTGGCTGCCTCCTGGGAAAGTATGAAAGGAGGAGGAGAAGGGAAATTCTGGATGGCAGCCATTTCTTTTGAACAGGCTAAGTCCAACTATCAGCTTAACCTGAAAGTGGAGAGTGAGAAGAAGGCTTTCAATTGGTCACATCAAAATTTATGTGCGAAATTCACTTCAGTGCCGTATGGTAACATCACTAGAGTGGAGTCTGAATCTGACAGCTACACTATGGTTATGTCTACACTATCGCTGTATGCTCCAATGATTGATGCACCCGGGGTTGATTTAGCGGGGTCTAGTGAAGACCCTCTAAATTGATGGCAGAGCTCTCTCTGGTCAACCCCGGTATTCCACCCTGAACAAGAAGAGTAAGGTAAGTCAATGAGAGAGTGTCTCCTGTCGACCCAGTGCTGTGTAGACACCGCAGTAAGTCGACCTAAGCTACTTGAAAAACGTAGCTGGAGTTGCATAACTTAGGTTAACTTACTGCAGTAGTGTAGACATAGCCCTAGTTCTCTCTTCAGATAAGTGGCAAATCATCTGAATGTCATCTTCAGTCTATATATGAAGGGAGCATAAGTGATCTCTCTCCTGCCATCCATCTCCACCCTCTGACAAACAGAGGCTAGGGACACCATTCCTTACCCATCCTGGCTAACAGCCATGAATTTATCCAGTTCTCTTTTAAACACTGTTATAGCCCTAGCCTTCACAACCTTCTCAGGCAAGGAGTTCCACAAGTTGACTGTGCGCTGTGTGAAGAAGAACTTCCTTTTATTTGTTTTAAACCTGCTGCCCATTAATTTCATTTGGTGGCCCCTAGTTCTTGTATTATGGGAATAAGTAAATAACTTTTCCTTATCTACTTTCTCCACATCACTCATGATTTTATATACCTCTAGCATATCCTCCCTTAGTCTCCTCCTTTCCAAGCTGAAAAGTCCTAGCCTCTTTAATCTCTCCTCATATGGGATCCGTTCCAAACCTCTAATCATTTTAATTGTCCTTCTCTGAACCTCTTCTAGTGCCAGTATATCTTTTTTGAGATGAGGAGACCACATCTGTATGCAGTATTCAAGATGTGGGCGTACCATCGATTTATATAAGGGCAATAATATATTTTCTGTCTTATTCTCTATCCCCTTTTTAATGATTCCTAACATCCTGTTTGCTTTTTTGACTGCCTCTGCACACTGTGTGGACGTTTTCAGAGAACTATCCACGATGACTCCAAGATCCAAGGGAGCAGACGTGCACTCAACAGTCACTAAATTAGCTCCTTTCAGTTATCTGTATTTTGCTGCTGAATGATCGTGTTTTATATCTTGTTGGTGTGCCAAATCCTGGTCCCCTGCACAAAGGCCAATGTCCTATGTGGGAATTGATGGTGTAGAATCCTGAACCCCAACCCAGCAGCAGACTGCATCTGCTGCTACAGACAATGAGCTACAGCAGCACATACCTCCATGGCACTTCTTCCCAAGACTTGCTAATTTGGAGAGGTGTTTTTTAATCACAAAAGGGGTAGTGGGCACAACATAAAAACACAGTGAAGCCCAAGGGTCTATTCTAAATGCTGTTCCCAGTCCCAGGCCATCCCCAGGGAAGTAGGGAGGGAGTAGTCCTTACCTTCCCTGCAGCACAACAGCAATTTTGTCTGGCCCCAGCAAGGGCTGTGCAAGGGGGAAAGGCTCTTTGTACCCTTTCCAACCTAGTGTGCAGCTGCATAAAGGCCAGGCCTTAGAATTATACTGTAGCTACATTTCAAATGCATGTAGTTAATGTACAGTGAATGTTGTTTTTGGTAAATACACTGCAATTATATTACTATCACCAGCGGATATTCACAATATAGGTATATAGTAATGAGAATACAGGAGTATTGGAAAGCATATGTCCTAGTGGCAGAGTTATGGTTTAACATAAAGACTTAATTGTCTAGAATGGGATTTATAAGTATTGATGGTCACAGAAGACCCTGAATGATAATATCCAAACTGTTGCATGTTTCAATTTTTTTTGGCCTGATTCTCATTTATTCGAAGGCTGTTTTAACCTGCCCTGGCAAGGTAAAGGGGCCTCAAACCTTAGGGTAGCTAAGAATTAAGTCCTTAAACTATAACCTCTCCCCCAACACCCCACACACACAGAGCTGCTTCATTAAGCAAGGACTTACTTGTTGATCCAAAGTATGAAGTTGTGAATTTCTTCTTACACACAGGATTTTGTGCAAAGTACATGTGACAGGTACAGGTACATTACTAAACATATTGGGCCAGATTCACCAACTGTGGTGCAGGGAGGTGTACATCACATCTGCATCCATTTTACATGATTTTAAATTGACCCATTTTTCGTGAAGCTTTTCATTATTTTTGTATGGACATTTTTAGTCATTGTTTGCAGTGCTGTTGTAGCTGTGTTGGTTCCAGGAGATGAATGGGCAATTGCCCACTTCATTTTAAGTGGAGTTCTATAACATGTGTGAACCTCTTATGCTGAACTAGTTGTCCCATCTTGCATTTAGCTTGGAGACTATAATTGCTTTCTCCAGACCTGGGGAAATGCTCTGTGAAGCTTGAAAGCTTGCCCCTTCCACCAACAGAGGTTGATGCCTCAAAAGATATTCCCTCACCAATCAGGTCTCTCTCTCGCTCTCATTTTTAGTAATTATCAAGTAATTTTTGAGTAATTATCAAAACCCTTCAAACACTGTTACAAAATGCTTTACAAAGAAATCCAGGGCAAAAAAAATGGAAGATTTTAAACTTTGTAGTAGGGCAGCATTCAATATCTCAGAGGCATTTTCCAGAAAGATGGCTGTCACTAGTACATCTTGCCTTACGAATTTTAAAAATACTTGGTTGAGCAAAATAGACATAGTTTTAGTTTAAGAGCACTTACAACAGTTCTAAATCTTACCTTTCCTGTCCAGCCTACCCCCTTCCAGATGCAAAAATACACTAGAATCCAGGCAATTGCCAGTGTAATCGCTAATGGCCATCGGATTTGCCCTGGCTTTTCCAGTCCATCTGTCATTTGGTGCATGTTGCGTCTAGAATCAGCAAAAAGAATGGCGCATTGGACAACTGCTTATTCTGAAGTGAGTATGTATATGTATAACAACAAGCTGAACTATGTATATGCACACAAATGATGTATAGAGAGATTCTGCTCAGCTTACTCCCAAAATTCGACCACAGCACTTGTCATGTTGGTGGTATTTACTATACTGTAATTGGAGAAACAGCGCTCTGTGTTCCATGCATTTCCACATTGTCTCCAAGGAAGAGTCTATTTAAAAAGAAAAAATATGAGTCAAGCTACTAAAAATGTTTTACAAGTAAACATTACCTCAGGTATATTCTCTTACTAGGAATGACAGCTGATTCGAAAGCTAATGTAGGTTGAGTTCTGCACTGCACGTATATCCCTGGGGGAATGTCTGCCATAAAAGTTATTTAACTTCTTCTCTATCATATGAATCAAATGTGAAAATGTTTCCTCCTTTCTTCACCATATCAGGCAAAAATGTTTCAGAATCAGCTATGCCTCTCAAAATGTGAGAGTGTATTGACAGTTCTTTAAGCTATGGCTGCTCTGGAGAGGAGCTCAAGAGTCCTTGTTACATTAAAGGTAATGAAATGTGACTATTATTGAGCACACCATATCCAAAGGTTTCAGTTTTCCTCTCAGACTGAGGAGGAGAGATGTTTACAGGAACTTGAACTACAATTGCTATTTTCCAGTGGCATTTTATACAACAGTGTTCCTTACTTTAAGAATGAATGTTTTGATAAAAACCAGAATCTAATGACTGAATATCTGTGCAAGTAATTTTGGACAACGCTGATGTCAATAAAATATAAACCCTGTTGATAGTCATACTTTTGGAAGCCAGTGATTTTATATATTGTTGCAGACTATTGCACAAGTTACAGCACACAAAGTGAGTTTATCAGAGACTTCATGGGAATTGAAAGTCAAAATACTCCAATTTAGACCCCAATCCTACACTCCTAACATATATCAGACTACCAACAACTTTGTTTCATGAAGAACATGTTATGCAAAATCCAGAAAATGTTATGTGCAAATAGAATATAGTCACAAACAAAGAAACTTGGTTCTTTAAGAGGGCCAATTTCCCAGATCTGAAAGCAATCTTGAGCATAATTGAGTGGGAGGAAAAAATAAAAGTGTGAATAATACTTGGGAATTGTTTAAGAACGCTTTAAGAAAATGTTTAAGAAAGCTGAAAGGTATCAATGACAAAAAATCTATGGCCAGTAAGGTTAAGGAAAATAGGAAGAAATTCTTTAAATGCATCATCAACTAACAAAATCCTAATATTGGTATTGAATCATAATCTCATAGAAACATAGGGTTAGAAGGGACTTTAAGGGTCATATAGTGGCCAAGACGAAGGATTTGTTGTGTCTAAACCATCCAAGACAGATGGCTATCCAGCCTCTTTTTGAAAACCTCCAGTGAAGGAACTTCCACGACTTCCCTAGACAGTCTGTTCCATTGTTCTATTGGTTTTACAGTTAGGAAGTTTTTCCTGAGATTTAATCTAAATCCGCTATGCTATAATTTGAACCCATTGCCTCTTGTCCTGCCCTCTGTGGCAAAAGAGAACAATTTTTCTCCATCTTTCTAATGGCAGCCTTTCAAGTATTTTAAGATTGCTATTGTGGCCCCCCTTAATCTCCTCTTTTCCAAACTAACAATACCCAGTTCCTCCAGCCTTTGCTCATATGGCTGCATTCCATCCTTTTGCTCATACTGTTGCCCACCTCTGGATCCTTTCCAGTTTCTCTATGTCCTTTTTATACAGCGGTGACCAAAATTGAACACAGTACTCCAGCTGAGGCCTAACTGGCGCCAAGTAGAGTGGTACTATCACCGCCCGTGACTTGCATGCTATGCCTCTGTTACTGCAACCCAAAATTGCATTTGATTTTTTTTACAACAGCATTGCATTGTTGATTCATGTTGAGGTTGTGATCCATCACAACTTCCAGATCCTTCTCAGTAGTGCTGCTGCCAAGCCAGTTATCCCACATTCTGTATTTGTGCATTTGGTTTATCTTCCCTAAGTGTAGCACCTTACATTTGCCTTTGTTGAATTTCATTTTGTTGTTTATAGCCCAGTTCTCCAATTTATCAAGATCCCTTTCAACTTTAGTTCTATACCCCAAAATGTTTGCAACCTCCCCTAGCTTTGTGCCATTTGCAAATTTGATCAGTGTGCTTTCTATTCCTATATCCAGGTCATTAATAAAGATATTAAATAACACTGGACCCAGAACAGATCTCTGTGGAACCCCACTTAAGACCTCTCTCCAATCTGACATCATTCCATTAATAGTTACTCTTTGTTTGTGGCTGTATAACCAATTATGTATCCACTTAACGGTAGTTCTGCTGAACCACCATTTCTTCAGCTTACTTATAAGAATGTCATGTGGGACTGTATCAAAAGTCTTGCTAAAGTCCAGGTATATTATGTCCACTGCATTCCCCCTATCACCAAACCAGTTACCTTGTCAAAGAAGAAAATCCAGCTGGTTTGGCATGATTTGTTATTAAATGCATGCTGGCTGCTAGTGATCACTCCTTCATCCTCCAACTATTTGCAAATGGAATGTTTTATACATTGCTCTAGTAGCTTCCCAGGTATCGAGGTCAATATTATATTTGTTCAATATTAGATAAGGATGGTAAAATTGTCTATCATGAATGAAAAAAGAAGACGTTTTCAATAAATATTTATGATCTGTATTTGTAAAGAAGCAGGATGTTGTATTCACATCTTACAGCAGGGGTTCTCAAACTGGGGGTCGGGAACTCTCAGGGGGTTGCGAGATTATTACATGGGAGGTAGCAAGCTGTCAGCCTCCACCCCAAACCCTGCTTTGCCTCCAGCATTTATAATGGTGTTAAATATATAAAAAAGTGTTTTTAATTTATTAGGGGGTCACACTCAGAGGCTTGCTATGTGAAAGGGGTCACCAGTACAAAAGTTTGAGAACCACTGTCTTACAGCGATAAGGAAATTCTTTCTATTCCATTAGTAAATGGAAAGGATGTTAAACAGAAACTGTTAAAGTCAAACATTTTTAAATCAACAGGACACCCATAAGTATTAAAAGAATTGGCTGAGGGGCTCTCTGAATCACTAAAATTAATTGTTAATAAATCTTGGAACACTGGGAAAGTTCCAGAGGACTGGAAAAAACTTCATGTTGCACCAATATTTTAGAAGAGTTAATGGGATGACCTAGGATATTACAGGCTGGTTGGCCTGATATAAATGCCGGGAAAGATCATAAAAAGACTGATATGGGATGCAAGCAGTAAAGAAATAAAGGACAGTCAACAGATTTGATGCCTTTTTGAGATTACAGTTTTGCTTGATTAAGGCTGCTGTATTAACTTAATAGACTTAGACTTTTGTGAAACATTTGACTTAGTCCCATAAAAATATCAGCACTATGCAAAATCAGTATAGTGCAAATTAAATGGCTCAATAACTGGTTAGCTCAGTGGTTCTCAAACTTTTGTACTGGTGACCCCTTTCACATAGCAAGCCTCTGAGTGCGACCCCCCCCCCAATACATTAAACACTTTTTTATATATTTAACACCATTATAAATGCTGGAGGCAAAGCAGGGTTTGGGAGTGCAGGCTGACAGCTCGCGACCCCCCATATAATAATCTCACGACCCCCTGAGGAGTCCTGACCCCCAGTTTGAGAACTCCTGGGTTAGCTGATATATCTCAAAGTAATTACTGTATAAATAAATGGGGAATTTTCCTAAGGGGTGTTTCTAGTGGGATTCTACAGGAACCTGCTCTTGACTCAGTGCTATTAAATATCTTTTATCAATAATCTGGAAGAAAATATAAAATCATTTCTAGTAACATTTGCAGATAACACAAAAAATGGTGGAGAGGTAAATAATGATAAGGACAGGTCAGTTACACATACTGTCCTGGACTGTTTGGTCAAGTACACTTTTGTTTGAACAATGTGCACTTTAATATAGCTAAATGCAGTCATATATCTTGCAACAAAGAACTTGTTTGGGAGACAATATTTTGACATGGAGTGACACTGAAAAGAACTTAGGGGTAATGGTAGATAGCCAATTGGACAATAGTTTCCAGTGCAATGCTGTAGGTAAGAGAGCAAACAATCTCTGGATGCATAAGAGGAGGAATTTCAAGTAGGAGTAGAGAGATGGTATTACTTATGTATACAGCATTAGTGAGGCCATTACTGAAATATAGTGTCCAGTTCTGAAGTTCCCATTTCAAAAATAATATTGAAAAACTGGAAAGGGTTCAACAAAGAGCTGCAAGAATTATTCAAAGTCTGGAAAATATGACTCAGAGTGAGACACTCAAGAACCTCATTTTATTCAGTTTATCCAAGAGAAGGTTAAGAGGTAACTTGATCATGGTCTACAAGTATCTACATAGGGAAGACATTTCTGATAGATGTAGCAGAGAAAAGCATAATAAGATCCAGTGGTTGGAAGCTGAAGCTAGACAAATTCAGACTAATAATAAGGCCCAACTCTTTTTTAGCTGTGAGGGTAACTGACCATTGGAACAACTCACTTAGGGACATGGTGGATTCTCTGTCACTTTCAATCTTTAAATCAAGACTAACAAATATGTTATAGCTGAAACAGACATTATGAGTCTGATGCAGAAATTACTGAGTGACGTTCTATGGCCTGTGTTATACAGGAACTCAGACTAGATGACCATAATTGTCCCTTATGGCCTTAAATCTATGAATCATGAAAACACCTTAAGTCCCTAACTCAGGCACTTGTCCAGAAACAAGATGCAAGTTCTGATGGAGTATGTATTCATTTCAATTTAATGTGTTTTGAAAGTGGCTTTACCAAATTGTTTTTTCTACCCATTTTTTAAAATTTATAGAAAACAAAAGTTTCTTAAATACGAACTATAGAAAATAACGAGAAGCAAAGTAAAGCTTCCTTAGAAAAGCCAAGTCAAAAGAGACTAATGGAAGCTGAATTTCCATTGTGGCATGCACAATACTGAACAACAAAACATCATCAACAAACTGAGCCAGATTCTTGACTCTGCCATGGCCCCTTTCAGCCACTTAATTGGCACAAATTAGTCATACAGCTGTCTTAACTGACCTCCTTAAGTTTTCCCCTATGTAGATGGTTCCTCGATAATACAGAACCATGCTTCTGCATTGGTGTGGGGCATGGTTGGAGTGCCACTGCACTCTGGCAATCCAGGGCTTCCAAAAGACCTCTCTGGAGTTACAAACTGCCTTGAGGCTGCTCTAAAATGCACTGAGGGGAACTGAACCGATCTCAGGATTGGGGAACCCCAAAGATGCAGAAAAGCTATCTTTGTCCTCCCCCGTCCACGGTCTTCTGACGAACAGAGCTTGGCCAGCCCAGAGAATCTGGGCCTCTATCTTATAACAACATGGCAGCATAGAGAAAAATGTTTCTAAAGAGGAGTTTTTGTTCTGTGCTCACCAAGTGCTACATTGTTGTTTGTTTCTTTCTTTCTCTTTGGGGGAGAAGAGTGGAGCATCTTGGTAAATAAGGAACACAAGATCAGATCTGTTTTACCTACGCTTGCTCTGATGAGAACTAAATGGAAGGCATCTCCTACAATCTATAGATCACACATATGGGTGGAATACCACTTAAATTTCCATGAAATTCAATTCAGTATATAGTGGAAGAGAATGAAGATTGATTTAGACTGCGCTCTACAAGAAGTGTGTTGTCCTGAGGTAAAACTCTCATTCATTTTAATAGGAGTTTTGACTGGGTAAGAACTTCATAAAAACTGCATGAGTGGGTCCAGTTGTACAGCAATGGTGCTTAATACATTATGAATAATAAATATGAAATTAATAAGTCCAAAATTTCAATGTGCCAACTGTAGATCCAGTTATAATAGACCTTTATTTTAGTGATATTGCTTGTTGACAAAAACAATACTCAACTTTAGAGCTCATTTAAATCTTTCAACTGAAATATTTTTCTAATGAAAAATAGGGTTTCTTTGAACACAGTATTTTGCATTAAAATGTCTTTTGACAACATTTTTGGTCTTTTGACAACACTTCTGGTCTTTTAAGGGGAAATTTTGAAATGAAACAAAAACTTCTTTGAAACTGAAATTTATTTTGTTTCAGTTTTTGAAAACCAAAAACATTTCAAATTTCCTTCTCCCCCCATTTTTCTGTCTTCCTTATTTTTCCCACTAAGTGCAACAAAGTGAATAATGTCCAAAGTTTTTTTTTCCTCCATCACTTTTTTCACTGTATCTTTTCAAAACTTTGTTAACATTGGAAAAGTTACAGAGTGGCAAAAGGAAAAATGAAACACTGCAACATTGCCACTCTAACTCTTCCAAAATTAGAGAAGTTACAGAATAAAAAAGGAGAAAAAGGAAGAGAAAAAAAGTGGTGGGTGTCTAGGGGACCTTAAACCTCATTCATTCCATGCAATCATGATTGAAAATAGAGAGAAAAAATCTAAAATTCCCACATTTTGGTAATTTTTGGCTTTTAGAAAAACTGAATCCAAATGAAATTTTCACTGAGTTTCATTTTGTAATATTTTGAATGAAAAGCCCTGAATACATTTTTTTTTCATTCTAAAATTTTCTTGGGAAAAAGGGAGTTTTTGTGTACTTTGTTTATATTTTTTAAACTTTCTCTACTTAAATATAAGAGGTTCCGTTCAATTTAGTTCTCAAAAAAATATTTTTTAAATCTACAATGATGTTTACAAGGAGGTGGATTGGATTAAGCAGCTATCAGCAACAAGTTTTTGCTTCTTCCATTAAAACAAAAGTACACACACACTTACACTAGTAAATGAATTATATAGGTAATATATGGCCCAAGAAATAATCACAATGTAGTAAATATTTAGCCAAAAGGACAGGACAGCAGCTGCTAACCCCACGCCTGCAGGAAAACAAAACAAAACAAAGTGAATATTAGACATTTTTCTACTATTCTTAGCAATGTTTTTAACATCAGCACTAATATAAATGGTGACAGTTGGAAGGGGAAACATCATATACAGAACAATTACATCGTATTGATTTATTGATAATGCATCCAGTTGAAACTCTAGAGGTAACATTATAACAAGTGGACACTAATTTTAGGTGATTCATGTTTTGGGTACCCAAATTGAGATCCCTGATCCCTGATTTTGTGACATGATAAACCCTTGTAGCTTCTATTGACTTCCACTGGAGTTGTGGTGCTTAGCACTTCTGAAAATAACAAAAACAAGCATCTCCTAGATGTCTCTAGTTGGCACCCCAAAATGAGTGGGTACTTTTGAAAACTGGGGCCTAGTTTTATGTGCAGTACTATGTTTCAATACATATGAAAAGCTCCCAACCCACAAACCCACACTCTACCATGTTGCTTCCTCAAGTAAGTCACCACACCTCAACCCTGGTCCCTCAGAAAATGCCTGTGGACATAGAATAATTATCCCCCAGCAGCCAGCAAACTCAGGCTGTGTTGGACCAAAGACAGGGAGCAGAGTTGTGGGCTATCCACTGAGAATGCCCCACCCTCAGCTTCCCACGGGAACCCCTTGAGGGACTGTATGGTATTCAAGCTGATCTCAGAGGTACATGGGACCCAAACCATAAAAGACTTTGTCAACCAAAGTCAGTACTTTGAATTGTGCTTGGAGAAGATCTTGTGTACACTGTAGAGCACAGATGTAATGTGTTATCTGTGGGAAACACCATTATGTAAGCTGTAACCTGCATTGCCTGAGTTTTCCAAGATGCTTTCCAGGTGTAGTTCTATTGCAGTAATCCAGACAAGAGGGGGACAAGGTGGAAGTAAGTATAGTATGGTCTGCATTCAACGGGGAAAGTCACACACACAGATGGCAATGCAGGAAAGCTAAAATGTGTACTGTAGTGTGGAGCAGAACTAACTTTTGAATACATATTTGAAACTTGTTTCATTTCAGGTTTCACTACTAACCCAAAGTCCTAGCTCTGGGTGCTGTGGTTTCATTTACAACCAAAACAAAACTCACGGTTTCTCATTGTTGGCATCTCAAACCAGGAAAAACTAAGAAGTATGGACTAAGTTTTGCTCTGAGGTTCAAACTTAAAGTTATTCTATTGGGACCTCTAGGCATTATTGTAATACAAATAATAATATTAATAAAAAACAGGGGCTGAAAACCCATATGAACCAGGATAAAAGGAGATTGTCTGACACTGCTATGAACTGAAACCATTATATTTTATACCTCCTCAACATAGAACTATTCAAAACAATCTTTACTATTCTATATTCTATCAGAAATATAAATTTATAAGACTAAGTAAAACATTTATTCTGAGATTTTCAGAACTACTCAAGACATTTGGATGCCCAACTTCTATTAATTTTAATGGAATCTGAGTGTCTAAATCCTTTAGATGACTTTGAAAGTTTCAGCCCCAGTTCAAAAAATCAGATGTTTCTTTTAAAAAAATGAGCAAAGTAAAAATGAAGGAACATTATCTGCTCTGTAAGTGCATTGAACAGTTTCTGTGACCTAGAAGTATCAGAACAGTAGATGTTAATACAAATCTCATATTGTACCTTTAAACATTGGAGCAAGCTTCCAGACTCCAAGGCCTCCTATAGATGTGAACTGACCAAGGGAACATTCCAAAAGAAATAGTGGAACTCCAGCAAAAATTAAAGTAAGGAAATATGGAATCAGGAATGCTCCTAAAAGGAATACAGCAAGTGGTCCATTACAGGGAAAAAATATCTTAAATCTACATTTTTATGAAGAGTCCAATACTTCCATACCTATTATACAACAGATTTTTTTCATGGTATCATTTTTATTTTGATTATTCAAAATAGCTAACATGCATGAATGACTTTCTGAACAACTATTAGCCCTAAGAGGTAGAAAGTCAAGGAGAAAAGGACTTCACCTAATATCATTTGGAATTCTTGCTTTTAAAATAGTTCAGGTGGCACAAAGGGGAAGGAAAGTAGCTGGATCTGGCTGGATGAGAATTACCCTGCCATAGGGAAGCTCACAGCTGGTGTAGCCAGCCCTCACGCCATCGCCCCACAAATTCATCCCAGGTGTAGTGGGTGAGGAGTGGCACTGCAATGTGCTCCAGCTAAGGCTAATTAAAGTTGCCAGCCCCCAGGCTGCTCTAACCTCCACAGGCCCCACAGCAGTGAAATCCACCCTGAGAATCAAAGAGCTATAACCAATTCCTTGATGGCACCCTCCCTGCCACACCAAGCAAACAATTAATTTTCTTATTTTTATAGGTGGAAAAAAGATTAGCAGCAACTTACACTTTAATGTTAAAATAAACATGTTGTGGGGAGGTCTAGTCTAAATATATACTGCAGGCTACAAGCATAAAATAAAATGTGTACCTCCGCCGTTCTTGCCACAAAGGTATGGAAATCGCCACACATTCCCCAAGCCAATGGCATAACCCACACATGACATAAGAAAGTCAAATCTTCCTTTCCAGGTGTCTCGGTCTGGAATATCTGTTTTCTTCTTCTGTACTTTCACTACCAAGGTTTTAGGCTTGTCATTGGTGATTGAAGCATCACTAAGTTCAGTGGAGATTTGTCCATCTGCAACTTTTGTTCCATTCGTTGCCATGTCTCTGGGTTTAGCTGGAGACGCTCTGGCAGGTGGACGAGAAATTTCAGCACCAGTCCACGTGGACAGCAGCTTTGCGGCTCTTAATTACCCAACTAGGGAGCTAAGAGTTTGGTAAAATAAAACAATGCTGTAATGGTTTGTGATCCAATCAAAAATCCCAGAATCAGATTCTCTATTAATCTGTAAGACATAAGATCAAAACAGAATTCAGAAGTGCTTCTACTGTAACCTCTTGTTTGAGGCCTGATCCATGAGGCCTGTTGATATCAATGAGACAATGTCCATTGATTTAATAGCCTTTGAATTGAGGCCTTTCCTTATGAAAGCTTCTTTTGCTGTATGTTTTATCTAAAGGCTTGATCCTGCCTTATGGGAGGTTCGGTGTTGACTCAATGATAGCAGGATCAGAGATAAAATAGTGAGAGAGCAAACATGAAACTACATAGTCAGCTTCAGATCTCATGCTTCTATAAACATGCATTAAACAATTCCAAATAGCACAGCATAACATTTATCAGAACATGATGGTCTATATTGACTTTATCTTATGCTCCAAGAAAAGCAACAGAGTGGTGGCAACAGTCATGAAAATTAAACAAAGGCTCTTCACACATCCCAAGTAATGCCCATGCTTTAATAAAGATTAGTAATATTTTTTCGACTAGAATTTGGAGCAGTTTTGCCTGCAGAAAATAGGACTTTAAAATTAATTTACAGGTTGGTCAGGGACCCAGCATTTCCACATTCCAGTGCATAATTTTGCTCCAAGGCATGATGTGTCAATAATGAAATCGCTGCTTTAAGAGTTTAAAAGAGGAATGTTTTCATTGTTCAAATTTTAATAAATCATTGACATTCTACATTTACATGTTAAAGATTTATTCCCATGATAATTGCAGGTTCTCTTTATTTGCAGGGAGCCATCATGACTATCACAGTGTTATTTTCTATAGATAATTGTTGTCCTCTTATTATTAAGATGGTGCATGTATAACAACACCTTTCATCCAGGAGACTCCCAAAGGAATCTGCAAATAGTAGGTTATATTGAACCACAAGGCTCAACCCTTAAAGGCTGAAGTAAAGTAAGTCACACACTTATATATTCTTACAATTAACAGCTAGCATACAGAGCACAGATTATTCACTCTACCTTGTAATTTAAGGTAACAGGCTATAATGATCACACCATCCTTGCCCTGTATTTTCTGGTATGGGTTACACCCTTGGGCCATTTAAACAGCATTTGCTAGTACTGAATCAATCATTCTGCACAGCTTTACCATGTCCATGTTACTCTTTTGTGGCCTGAGTACACACAGGAGAAGCAGCAGAAAATAGGCATGACTGTACTATAAATAACTTGTGACATCTCCTGCAAAGTGCGACGCATCTGCAATTCCTATTGACTTCAATGGCTTAATTTCAATTCAACCAACATCTTTAAGGATATGAGCTCTTGAATACTGAACATCCATACATCATTTGCAAGGGGCAAATGATTTTAATAATGAGGGGGCTGAGCATGCATTCAGTTAGTTAACAATAATTAAAACTGAACTTTGGAATGAAAACAACAAGATTCACTGTAAAGTTATTTGGATGCTGCCTATAGAAATCATACATGTTGTTCCTGTGTTAGCAGTATGGGTGATACAAAGCCCAGGAAGAACAAGTTATTCACACTTTCCTGAAATAAAAACAAACAAGACAGAGTTTATTGGCTTTACTCTGTAGCTTGTATTTATAATCAACAGAAATTGTAACTGAGAGTTTAAAAGACTCTCAGTTATAAACAGTCCTTCTCTGAAACTTTTCAAATAACACTGTACTTTCTATTCCTCTTTGATCCACAGGTCACATCCCTGAATAGAAAGATTTCATTTGGATAAATCACTTGGAGTTGTGCTGGAAAGAACACATCCATCAATCACAAATACATTTTTATAACATTATGTTCTTTTCTCTCCATTTTGCTGCTAGACTCAAATTGAGAATTACCAACAATTTATATCACTCTCTTATTAAGTCCTCCTCCTTTTGAGCTGCAATTCAGAGCACATCTCCTCTGATCATACATCTCTGGTCATATTTTAAATTACCATATTCTGTATTATGGTGCATGCCTGTTGGATCTTTCTGCAGGATTAGTTTCAAGCACTAAAAATATACTAAATATCCCATTTCATATTTAATACTTGATGGATAGGATTTGTTAAATGCAAGTCAGCCAGGTTCATAAAGCATGTCCTTGAGACATGTGTGTCTTGCTCAAGATGTTTGATTCTTCTCTCCATCATATTCCATGCTTATGTACAGTTGTTTTGACTGCAGAGATCGGTGATGACATGTATCTCCAGCTTTCTCCACATATCAGATATTTATTCCATGCTTTCCAGTTCATCAACCATTAGATTAAAATTAAAAGATAAACGCATTTACTTTGATTTTCTGGCTTGGAGACTTTCCTTTTGGTAAGGGCATCTGGAACTGTATCCATATTATTTGTAAAGGCTCCCATCTGTGTCTGCATGCTGCCAACTTTGGAGCGGGAGTGTGGGCCTTGGGAAAAATCAGTCTCCCCTTGCCATTTGGTCATGTTGGTGTTTGTTTGCGAAACTTTGTGTTATCTCTGATTTTTAAGGGGGCAGGAAGGACATCGTTTTGCCAACATCTGGACCAAAAATTGCAGATGTAGGTATCAGAATGCTGCTCCAGCTGGCTGTAAGCACTGGGTAACCAAGGATTAATCTTACAATACTGTATATGGCAAGAGCACCAGTGAGATTGGCTAAAGATGAGCAGCTGTGATCGTTCCCAGCATCTCCAAGGTAGCAGACATTTCATTTACCATTTTGTACCATTGTAACACACAATAGTGCATTTCTTTTCTAACAGCCTCTCTTTCTTTGCCACAGGCTCAGATCAAGGACAGTTGCTGCAAAGTGGCTTCTAAATCTCCATCTGCAGTTTTTGTGCTAGGATTGTTTGGACAGGCAAAATCCCCTATTCCCTAAATTTATATGCAAAGTTTGGATACCTAAACAACTAGCTCGCTGATTTGTATCTGTAAACAAAGCTTGCATGGGAAAATGTGGGATTTCTGTGCATGCAAAGACACATGTACTCAAGAATGAGCATGTGTGTGTGTCAGTGTCAGATTCACATATGAGGTTGAGGTCATTTTGAAAATTTGGCCTTCCCCATCAGGGACACACTATGAAACTCATGGGTCTCACCACAGGCAACTCTGCTATTATGTAGTAACAACTGTACAATTTGCTAACCCAACCTACTGATGAAAGTACAGAACTGCAAATGTTACTTTGCTGATTTGCTGAACAGCTAAGGATATTACAGGAAAATTAACTGGTATTGAGTGTTCTACTGCCTATTCAGATCTTTTTTATGTTGAAATATGTGGCATTTTCCATTGGAACTTCAACTGAAGCTGTACTTTCTTGTCATTAACACATACTACGTGCTCAAGAAAGAGGGGGCTGAATCTAATGAAAGGTGAGGAAAAGGCAAAGTAGAATAGATACTCCTGCTGGGAGTATGGCTGAGATCTATGTCACTGACTCACCACCATATCTTGCATCCCTGTTGGAAATGTCATCATGGTAGCCAAGGACTGTCTGAGCAAAAAGCAGAGAGAGACTAAACTATTTTCTCACCCCTACAGGTGGTGGGCCATACAGGTCAGAATTACAATACATTGCACTATCTTTGGGCATTGTACTGTACCCATTTGTGCCTTTCTAAGCTTTCTTGGGACACGCACTAAGCTCTTTAAAGCACTATGTATACATAATAATTGTCTGGTATGCCGAAAGGACAGGAGACACTTGATATGGATTTTAATCAGGCCACAACTTTATTATATAGTTTTCTGGGTCTACCCGGCAGATAAGTGTACAGTGCAGGCAAATCCATGTTTATTCAAATCATTACCCGCACCAGCCCCCCTTCATTTTCCATCCAGGTTCCCCTCAGCCAACCCATAGCTTGGACCTTACCACCCACCCGCCTCGTAGAATGGTTAAGGTGAGCTATAAGAATGAGGTGCGATTGGCTCCCTGCCGTACCAATCATAGGTGTCCCCAACCCACCTCCCCTGTTCTGTTCCTTTACTCAGCACCTCCTTTTAAGTCCTTTACCAGGCTACTTATCTGGTCACTGGATGCCTTCCCTATGGAGTACCTGCACTGGACATCCACCCCACACTTACAAAATAAGTTGCGACATATAGTCTACCACCTTTTCTTCTTACCAGAAAAGGTCCTCCCTGACACCAGCTCTGGGGAAGGTGAAAAAACGTCACTCCACCAAAGCCAATCTGGTGGTGCGGGAAAATTCTTTCCCAGTGCCCCTAAAAAGGAGTGACTAGCACAAAGCCCACAGCAGGTCCTAACCCAATCTGATATTCGCCACCTCTAGGGGAGGGAAGGTGGGTGCTGCCTTTCCTGCAGTATGGAAAAAGGGGCTTCCAATGCCCAGGACTTGCACCTTTAGAGCCTTCCGACCTCACATTCCTGTTCACCTTTTGCAGCAGTTTCTGATCTCATTTCCCTTTCCCTCCCTGTCACTATAAAGCACTGCTGCCTTCCCTCTGCAAGCCCAGCCAATGTTCCACCCACTTTAAGTGGGGTGCGGTCATTTCTTCCATTACAAATTCACACAACTTTATCATTGTGGGGTGACTGCTTGGCTTCCTCAGATTCATTCTTTAAGTTTTCCATGCACATTGCTTTTTTGGGTTTTATTATCCACTTAAAGAAAGAATAAAACTGCCTGTGCCAGTCAACAGAAAAAAATCAGAAGAGACATTTTGGGCTTATCAACCTGGACATTTATTTTAAAACTTTCACTTTAAAGTAGCAATATCTATGCTGTGATACAATGGTCCAAATTCCCCCTTCAAAAGCTCAACTGAAGTCAGGGGAGTGATTAATTTGGCCCAGTATTCCCTGATTCTGGCAAAAAAGTATTGTTGGGGGCTAGTTAAATACACACGAATGGTAAAATATTCACCCTACTCCTTTATTTAGGGTTTAAGGTTGAGATTTTCCCAGGAGCCTTTATGGAGACAGGTGTCCAAATCTGTGTCCATCTCCCTTAGGCTGAAATTTTCAAAGGAACTCAAGTGAGTTGGAAAGACTGTCTCAGGACAATGCGAT